AGAGGGGCTCTGTGCGCTGCCCTTTCCTGCAGGCACTGCCCCCTGCAGCTCCCATTGGCTGGAGGTACCCGCAGGCAAGGGCAGTGCATGGAGCCCTCTGCCACGCCCCCATTTCCACCCCCCCCCCCGGGGCCGCAGGGACATGGTGCCGGCCACTTCCGGGAGCGGTGCGGGACCAGTGCAGGCAGGGAGTCTGCCTTAGCCCCGCTGTGCGCCTCTGCCACCCCAGAGCTGCTCAAGGTAACCTGGGCCAGAGCCTGAACTCCTCCTGCACCCCAACCCCCTGCCCTGAGCCCCCTAGTACACCTCACACCCCTTATGTGCTCCAACCCCTTGCCCTGAGCCCCTTTCTGCACACTGCACCTCCTCCCACACCCCGCACTCTCTCATGCACCCCACCTCCTGCCCTATGTTCATGGCCCTGCATGCAATTTTCCTACCCAGATGTGGTCTAAATAGACAAGGTCGGGGGTGGGGAGAAGGAATTCAATATATAAGGAAGTGGTCAGGGAGGTTGGGAGATGAAATGCCAGGTCCAAGAGTTTGGGGGGTTACTGGGTGGGGTATAGCTGGGGAGTGGCAGAGATGTAGGGAAGGAAAGAGGTTGAGTTGTAGGAGAGGGGGTGGGCGGGCAATGGAGAGGTTGGGTTTGTGACTGCAGCAGAGACCTAACCAGTCCAAGCTGTTTGTCAGTCAGGACATCAATTGGTTGCCGCCATGCGGAGGTTGGCCGTCATAGCGTAGCGCTTTTTATAAGCTACCCTGAAAGCTCACCCCCTTCTACTCCCATGCAACTGGTGTGGGAGAGTGGAGGCTGTTAGTGTCTAGAGTATTTGAGTGTCTAGATCCAGTGAATAGACAGGGAATGAGGGCTGGTGGGTCCCCGACTGCAGCTGCTACCTCCTGTGACTGTATAAGTTGAGCTCCCCTTAGAGTTTGATTGTAAACAGTGTGATCTAGTGGTTAGGGCAAAAGAATGTGAGTCAGACTTCCTGGGTCCTTTATCCAGCTTCACAGAAGATTTGCTGGTGTGACTCTGAGCGTGTCACTTCACATCTCTGTGCATGAGTTTGTCCAGCTATAAAAAGGTCTTAGTGCTTGCCTCTCTCCCAGGCACAGTGACAAAAACATTAATGTTTATACGGTGCTGACCTAGAGGCTGGAACACTGGACTGAGACTCAGGAGACCCGGGTTAAAATCTGGCTATGATGGTGACCTCAGTTTCCCCACTTGTACAATGGGGATATTGATACTGCCCTCCCGTGTAAAGCACTTTGAGATCTACTGATGAAAAGCACTAGATGAGAGCTTAGTTTTATTATGAGGATGATTAGTCCCTAATCTGGGCCTCACTTTCCCCATCTGTAAAAGGAAGATGATACTGACTTTTGTAAAACACATGGCATTCTACTGGTGAAAAGCGCTGTATAAGAGCTGGGTATTATTATTATTGGAAATGTATACGGCTGTGTAAGTGCTAAGCATCATTATTAGGGATGTTGTGGGGCTTTAATGTCTGTAAAACCCTTTGGGATCATCTGATGAAAGGGGCTGTTGTAGCAGATGTGGAAAGGGACAGAAGGGAGATCTGTTACCAGGGGAAATCTCTCTCTAAATCTCCGAAGCTACAGATTAAAGCAGCTGTGCCCACATTAAATGGCTTCCTTCCCATCTCTTTCCCCACTGCCAGCTCTGCTCTGTCATTCACGTGTGTGTGGTACTGTGTCATTGTAACGGCCGGGATGGGCTACATCCTCCTCATCCAGCTATTGAACATCAGCTACAACGTGACGGAGAGGGAAGCTCGGCTGGCTCTGCGGGAGGACACCGGGCGCAGGCTTCTGGGCGGGATTGTGGTAGACACGGGCAAGTATAACCGGGGCTTCCTGTACAACTGGGGCCAGTTCTTGACCCTGGGGTCACCCACTCCTCAGCGCTCTGCTGAAGACATTGTATGACCCCCCTTTCCCACTGATCGCAGTGATGTTCTGTGGAAGTGAATGGCTCCTTCCACAGGGATCCCATTGCTATTCCCTACTGACTTGGAGGCTGGGCCCATCATTGGTGTCTTAAGAGGCATTAAAGTACAGATAGCTCTCGTACACCAGAGGTCAAAAGTAGGGTGCAGAATGAATTTAGCCATATGCACCAACCGGGAGACGAAATCACACTCCTCCCCCACCTGCCTCCACACAGAGAAATTATGCAGAATTCAGCAAGATTAACAACAGCACAAGACTTTGAGAATGTGGGAACTCCACATCTGGATTTCAGAGCCAAGATAATCAAATGCCAGGCTTCAGGCCTCGGCTGGACACTGCAGGGGTCAGGACAGACTCCCCTCTCTTACCCATGTGCAGCATTTCACAAATGATGTGATGCCTTCTGCTGATGAGGCGAACTATGTGTACCAAGAGCAAGCTATTTCAAGAGACAGAATCGCAATTATAATGGACCAAGGGGAAGATGTTTAAAAGGGGCTTTGTCTCATGGTAGCTTCAAGAACCAATTAGTACCTCTCTTCTCTCTTGTGGGCATATTTTTCAATCTTCCATTCCATCCTATCCATAAAGCTGCATCAGCTGTTAGTGCTTCTCTTAAGTGCCTTTGTGAGCAGTACATATATAGGGCTGTTTGAGGTCCTGTCCTCTCTTAGCCCTCCCCAAAGGGACTATTCCATCTGTGTGTGAGGGGGAGGACTGGTCCTGCCTCTGTGCCAGTGATTTCTTCCCTTTACTTCTCTGAGTTGATCCAAGAGCTTGACTCCCTTGAAATATTTTTGTTCCATTAGCAATTGCTAGCATCACACAGCTGGTAAATATTTTCCAAGTAAGAAAGCTGTAAGTTCCCAAGTAGCTGTTACTCATTCTGGGGCAGTGGCCCAGGTGGGAAGTAAATAGACCCTTGTCTGCTGCTGCTACTGGCTTGTGATATCCCTCCCTGTGATGAGAGAGGAATAATAGTACTCCTGGGAGATGGCTCACTCTCTTCCCGCAATCATTGAGAATGTGCTCTACCCCCAGTAGACCTGTTTCTCAAAGGAACTGGAGAGGCAAGATTCCACTCGGAGGCCTGGGGATGAGCGGAGGGTTTGTTGGCCTCTCAGAAGACTGCTGAATGAAAATGTTGGTTGCCGTGTTGTATAGTCAGGATATTAGAGAGACAAGGTGAGTGAGGTAATATCTTATTGGATCATCTTCTCTTTGGTGAGAGACAAGCTTTCAAGCTCATGTGACCTGAAGAAGAGCTCTGTGGAAGCTCAAAACCATGCCTTTCACCAAAAGAAGTTGATCCAATGAAAAATATTACCTCCCCCACTGTGTCTCGCAAATGAAACTGTTGGCGGGGGTTACAGTGGGGTTGCTAGAGGCCCATGTGGACTGAGTGCACCTGCCTCTCAACCACACATAGGTGGGTTCCACTTTTAGCTGAAATCACAACTGATGTCATTTGGCAGATCTTATCCCAAGCCCTGTTTGTGCGTGTTGTAAACACCACTGTAATTTGATATGCCTGGCTAGATAAGCCCTGGGCTCGGAGAGCATTGGAGTATTGTAGATCTCGACTGAGATGCACAGGCCGAGCTGGGAGGAATCTCACTCTAATTATTGTGTGTCCACTCCACAAAAACAGTCACTGAGTGGCCCCCTTGGTGGCAGACAGACCAAGGACTGATTGGAGACTTGAACTCCCCTCTCCTTGCTTAGAGGTCATCTCTTTAGGGGAGGGTTGATACAGTGTATTACCAAAGGGGGGGGGGAGAGGAGAGATAGCAGGGCAAGCTTTCCCTCCCCATCTTACTGTACATTCAGCCCCCAGTCTGCTGGTCTGTCATCTTTCACCATCACCGTACCCACTCATGATACAATGCCCAAGTTGAAGTCGATATGCCCCTCTTTGCACTGTTCTGTTGCTTGCTAAAGTGGCAACTTCTGTGCCCCAGAGCATAATTAATGAGCCTTAGGAACAGCTGTGCTTGGAGCCCAGTGACATGGAAAGAGCTGCTGACTGGTGCAGTCCCCTTTTTGTGATCACTTTAAAAGGGAGAAACCTCTGTCTCTAATCAGAGGGAAGGAAAGAAGAAAATCAAGAGATGTGGAGACCTCTGGCCCTTTATTATCCCCATTTCAATGAGAAAGCAGTCACATGGATCACAATAATCATGCCAGGGGATGAGCATGATGATCTGACTTCTCTGGGGACTGGAGTTATGCTCACATCAAGAGCTTGCCTCAATGCTACTTAACTGCAAATGTGTCTGTAGCAGAAATACATTTAGAGGAGCTGTGGGGAGCCTAGATGGAGGGGTTCTGTGTCATGCAGTGACCTCTCACAAACCTGTCCTGTTGGGAACTTGGAAAGGTTGAGATAATGTTGCCTTCTGGGCACAAAAAAAGCCACTAGAGGGCATGTGGTGTAGAGCACAGAACTAGGAACCAGGACCTTGGGCAAGTCACCTAACCTCTCCATGCTTCAGTTAACCCCTCTGTGAAGTGGGAATAAAACTCTGAACTAGTGTGTGTTTACCAGTGCTATCTAGTGGGTGGAATTGGAGCTGCTCAACTGCGTGTCGGGCCCAAACAGAGCTTCAAGTGGTTAGAGGCCTGTGTTGTTGCCGCAGGAGGATCTGAATTCTATTCCTACTGCATGGAAGTTCTAAGTGGCCATAGAATGCACTCTGGTGGCAAATGCACTCTCTTAAATGGCCACCTTCTTGTTTACAGTCCTAGTCTTCCTCAGAGCGGATTACCTCATGAATGTCTTTGGAGGGGGAAAGCACAATGTTAACTTTTTGCTCTGTGTTTCTACAGTGCCTAGCACAATGGGGTTCTGGTCTATGACTGGGGCTCCTAGGCACTATAGCAATATAAATACTAGTAGCAGGAAGTATGACCATGAAGAGGACAGAACAGCATGAGCTTCAGATTTACTTGGGTTTGGAGTTTCCTTTGAGTAAACTCAGTGCAACAGAAAGTCCAAGAAGGGCAATGCCCCCCTTTTTCATTTCCATTGAGCGTGGATTATCTCACATTCTTTGCTTTAACCTTGTCTCATTGATTAAGGGTGGGCAAACTTGCAGCAAAATGTTAAAATCCACCACAGTACTGGACATGAAGAGAGTGTCTTGGGGCTGTGAAAAAGGGATAGAGATGCAGTAAAGCAAGGCAGGCTGGTGAGGGATAGTCATGTGAGTAATGATAGATGGGGAGCATGCTGCATTTGACAGATGAGCTGCAGGGTGGGCACCCAGCTGGGTCCAACAGATGCTTAAATGTAAGCTCCTTGGGGCAGGGAGTAGCCACTTACTTGTCTGTAAATTGTCATGCATACACAACAATGAAGAAATCATTACCATTCTGGCCCTTTAAAGGCTCTCCTGAGCAGCAGAAGAGGCATGTCTAGAGTTGGTAAAAGACTGGGGACTCTAGCAATTTTTTAAATTGTTTTTCCTGGTTTTCTGCCTCAACATTTTGAAATGTAAAAAAAGGGGTGGGGGGAGATAACTCAGTGGTTTGAGCATTGGCCTGCAAAACCCAGGGTTGAGAGTTCAATCCTTGAGGGGGCAATTTAGGGAACTGGGGTAAAAATCTGTCTGGGGATTGGTCCTGCTTTGAGCAGGGGGTTGGACTAGAATGAGGTCCCTTCCAACCCTGATATTCTGATTCTATATCCCACTCTGGTAGCATCCTTTTTAGAGACTTTCTGTGCTATTGAGTGAGATTCACTTTACAGACCAGGAAGAATTTTAAAGGGGTAGGACTGTCCTAATACTACTAGAATTGCAGATACCAGCGTGCTTTTTGGTGAATTTAGTGAAAGCTGTTGCCCAGTTAGATGCATGGTATGAGCGACAACTTGGCACTCTGCCGTAACTGCCACTTGTCAATTTTGCATTCATGCTCTGGTAGATGAGTGACTTTTTTTTTTAAGACCATTTCCTGACTCTCACCTTTACCCAAATGACTGAAGTCACTGCTGACCAAGAAATGCCAGAGATTCCAATTACATTTCAGACTCCATGCTGTAATGGTGCTTTCCCCTTCAAAATAGACTGCTTTCAAGTGTCTTAAAAAAATCATGTGCTGTAAAGTTTCTTCTCTAGACAAATGAATTCTGCCTACTGTCTTAATAATCACATGCTCTATGACTTCCTTCTCTGTATAAATGCATATTGCCTCATTAGAGCAGGATGTGTGTGTGATTATGGATGTATTTTCCCTATCTCTACTATGTTTTCAATGGAAGCATCTGCTCCCTAGGACTTTCTTCCACCACAAGGATGTTTGTCAAGTGAAAACCCTGCAAGGGACAAGGTGAGATCCTTCCTGAAATCAGGAATCTGACTTCCCAAGAGTTTACATCTTTCGGGAAATGGTTTTAATGGTAAAATGAAAAATACAGGGTCTGAAAGAAGAATTGTTTCTAACTTGATGTTTTTTTCCTAAATAAATGTGAAATGCTGTAGGTGTGAGCTTTATTAAAAGGATTGTATGGAGTGGCCACTTTGTAACATGCCCAGCATTTGCAGAGAGGTGTAGTTATGAGTTCAAATAAATAAAAACTATCTATAGAGTGGTCTTGGTTAATTTATACTATGTTACAGTGCAGATGAACTGAATGCTTCCATCCAATTGTACTGGGTTACAGAGACTGGCATTTCTATTCAAATCTAGCCAGGTCAGTAGTGACTGAAAGCTACCCCCATCTAGTGGCTGTGAAATGAATTTGGATGTTGGAGGGAGTCGGCCCAATTCCCAGTGAGTAAGCAGCCATAGCACGACACCATCATCACATCTGGTATTGCCTGGTCCCATCATTCCTAGTCTCAGAGGGAAAAGGATTGAACTTCCTCAAGTGTTTCCTCATAATCTCAAGGACATGGGTTTCTACCATTCAATTCTGCATCAATTCAAGCTTTAAAGCCCTGAACTGTCCTGTTGCCAGCTGCCTGCAGCTCTATCTTGATGAGAAACTCAATGTGACCCTGCCTTTGTCATCGCACTAACTGCAATTTTACCTATACCAAGAATCCAGCCTTAGAGGGGGGAGCAGGCGAACATACCGTTCCCACATGGCAACTTCCTGACTGGTGCACGAATACAGCCGGATGAGAGAGGATTAAAATGTTCTCTCTATAAAAAGGAAGCTGGTAACCTGAGAACGGAAGGACCGGCTCTAATGCATCCTAGTATGTAGAGACTGCACTGGCAAGATTTCAGTGGGGGCCAGTGTGCACCAACAGGCAAACACTGCTGCTACTGTTCTATCATCACACATTAGCCAGGAATGCACCAATGAGTGGAGGGGAGTCTGCAAATTGGATTGAGGAATTGAAGCTGGCTAGGTTGGTCCTCTGCTCTTCCGCTCTGCCCATGTCCCCTATCTGCTAATCTTTCTCCAAAGGAGATCTTATCCCTTCTGCAGTGCCCACCCTCTCCCCCATACGCAAGCGATGCCCCAACCCCCTTCCAGCTGCTGTTCTCTCACACAATCTGACCTTACTGCTTCCAGCTGATCTCCCACCACACTCACCTATCCTCCATCCACACACTTCCAACTCCTTTCCTTTGCTAGATAAGTGCCCACATGACTTGACAACAGTCAGGTCTGGAACCAAGATTTGGGCAACAGGCATGTCTTGCATTCCTTAGCATTTGGGAAGTAGGCTGTGGGAGGGAAAATTAGGGAATGATAGTCTTAACTTGTTATGATAGAACTGAGAACCTGTCTGCCTGTCATGGTAGAGGGTCTGCTTTGTAACTCACCCTGCTCTCCAGTCAGTCCTTGCACCCAAGCAAGCAAAAGCCTGAGAAGAGAGGAGCCCTTGTTTCCAGCTTTGTTACACCAGTGAGAGAGAAGCAAATTCCAGTCTCCCAACTGCCTGTCTCCATTGCTCGGGTGTTCAGAGCTGAGGACTAGCAAGAATGCCCCAGCAGATAGATCTCAGCAGGCACAGCAATCACAACTATCTAATATAGACAGGAGACTTTTTTAAACTACTGTACTAACCAAATCCCCATGTGTAGGCTAGAGCAGCGTTTTTCAGACTTTGGCTCGTGACCCAGTACTGGGTCATGGCATGTCAGGCACTGGGTCGCTCTGGTCAGCGCTACCGACCGGGTTGTTAAAAGGCCTGTGGGCGGTGTTGCCCAGCTAAGGCAGGCTAGTGCCTACCTGCTCCGACACCGTGCTGTGCCCCAGAAGTGGCCAGCAGCGGGTCCGGCTTCTAGGCAGGGGGGCCACAGGGCTCCGTGTGCTGCCCCTGCTCCAAGCACTGGCTCTGCACTCCCATTGGCCGAGAACCAGCCGATGGAAACTGGGTGGGGTGGGAGTGGTGCCTGTGGGCGAGAGTCGCATGAAGCCACTTGTTTGCCTCCGCCTAGGAGCCTGACCAGGCGGGAAGCCTGCTTTGGCACCCCTGCTGCGCCGCTGACCAGAAGTCGCCCGAGGTAAGCCCGTGTCCAAACCCTGCACCCCAATCCCCAGCCCTGAGCCCCCCCCAACCCGGAGCCCCTTCCTGTGCCCTAAACCCCTTGTTCCCGGCCCCACCCCAGAGCCTGCACCCCTCAGCCCTGCCCCTCTCCTGCACCCCAACCCCCTGCCCCAGCCCTAAGCCCCCGCAAATCCAGAGCCCCTCCTGCACCCCAAACCCCTCAATCCCAACCCCCGAGCCTGCACCCCCAGCCCAGAGCCCTGCCCCCCTCCTGCACCTCAACTCCCTGCCCCAGCCCCAGAGCCCCCTCCCACATCCTGGGCCCCACCCTGCAGCCCTCAACCCCAAACCCCAATGCTCTGCCCCAGCCCTGACCCTCCCCCTCACACCCCTCATCCCCAGCTCGGTTGGGTCACTGGCATCAACAGTTTTCTTCAACTGGGTCCCCAGAAAAAAAGTTTGAAAACCACTGGGCTAGTGCACTATTTCTTAACTCACTTGCAACCCTATAACACGTTAAGGCCTAATCTTGACTAGGATATAAAGGGGTGATGGTAGCTCATGTTAGCTAGTGTCTAGCAAACACTTTCTAAACCTCTAATCGAGACAAGGGAAGTTGTACTTCAGCATGAGCTAAACTGGTAGAATTAAATTAACCTGGGGGGAGCCCAGGCTTCAACACCACTAGTTTAATTTATGCTAAAGTTCAGTTTGCCTTGTTCTGGACTAGAGTTTTAGAAGTTATCTGATCATGGTAACTAGCTTGATCTAACTGACAATACATCTTTAAATCCTAGTCTAGACAAGGCCTATGTGTGGATACAAACAAAGGATCTGGCGGCACTAGGAACAGACTAGGAAAAATGGGGCTTTTTTAAAAATGGACCTAGTTGCCATGATTTGAAACGCCACTCAGCACCAGGCGTAGATAGTTTCATGCCTATACACTTGAGTTAGCTGGTTGTGCTATAATTTAGACTCGCTGCTAGGATCGATGGTCAACCAACTAAAGGTTTTAACGGTGTTCAAGTGTCTACACAAAGTGTTATGTTTGTGTTTCAAATCCTGTTAGCTAACTCAATGGCAAAACACCTGCTTCTAAAGTTTAGCCTCCCTCTCCTCCCCCAACACAATGGTTTAGTAACAGTTCCTCATGTGGGCAGGGCTTTGTGTAATGCTTAGCAGGACATGGGTTGTTCAAGGATGCAGCTATCTTTGAGGGTAAAAGGACTCCATTCATTTATTCGCAGATACAGCCACATTGTGTCAAACCACAAGGCGAGAGTACTGACAACAGAAAGGCATCCAGGGCTCTGCTCCAGCACAAAAAGGCACATTTTGGTTCTGCGCTTCCTGTCCCTTAGGGAGGAAGTACAGTGTCTCAATTCGACAGCCCTATGCTAAAGGCAGCAAAAATCCCGGGGGAGGTTTGGAAGCAAAGTTTGCACCTGGCCTGGAATTTATCCTGCCTTGATTCTCGTGCTCTAGCCCCACTCACTGCCCATCTGACGGGGTGTTGCTCTGGCATGTTCCCACTGTGGGAAAGCAGCCTAGTGGCTAGAGAGTGACGCCAACAGTCCAGTTTTCACTGTCGTCCTCAGGTTAGACTGAATGTTAAAAGTGGCACTTGAAACACAAGTGGCCATGGGCCCTAGAACACTCCCTTTGCCCCCACTGCACCAAACCAGGAAGAGCTCCTGTCATTCACAGGGGTGAGCTCACATCACTAGCTGAATCCTTCCACTTAGGTCCACTCTGCTCATCAAGGAGGGAGCGTTGCCCAGAGTCCTTCCTGTCATCTTCGGAAGTCGGGGAGAATTTCGGCTACTCTCTTGCGTAGCTGCTCTCTCCTTGCCTCTTTCTCTCTTTCCTCCTTCATCAGTGCTGGGTACTGCCTCCAGGCCCTGAACATGGTCAGTGTTATTCTCCTTTAAAAAAGGGAGAGGGAAAGAGATAAATGGACAGAGCCATCACACACGGCCATTAAAAGCCTCCGCTCTATTCTAGAGCAGCCAGAGACCCCCCAGGATTCATCCCCTCTATTGCTACAGTCAGGGCAGTGACAGGTTAAAACTCTCCAGTGCAGGCAGTTTAATTACAGATGTCAGTCAACCCAGAATACTAACACTTTGCCCTTCTCTCTTGCCTTTCCTCCAGATTTCACTCCTCTCACTGGCAGGATTCATTAGTCAGTGTTTGCTGAGTGCTCTGAAGAGAAAGGTGTTATATAAAGGCTAACGAGGGTCCTTGAGAAAAAGGAGGTGAAGGTGGCTTCTTCATGGGAGGCTCCCTCATGGAAGGAGTGAGAGAGAAGAGCAGCCTCATTCAGTGCAATTCAATGGCTTGCAGGCCTAGTCACTTCACTTCTAGTCTCTCTGGATTCTCCTCAAGTTCACTGTGCCTGTCCCCGATAACCAGGCACCATCCCGACCTTAGCCCTGTCAATCAGGTTCAGCATTAAACTATGCAGGAGTGTGAGCTAAACTTGCAAACTAAAACCAAAAACCATGTTGATTTAATTGACTCTTCCCATGAGCCAGTGATGGAGCTTGTCTGCACCGATCCCACGTTTATTACACAGCTGAAATGCCATTATAGTTAGAAGGGGGGATGGGATTTGACTTTTCTGCTTCCTGCAGTGACTTTGAGACTTAACTCTTCACTGTACTGACTATAACAAATGTCCCACTAAACCTGCACTACAACGCAGCTATGGGAGAGTACATTGGAATCTATTCAGCTTCATTCATCATCCACAAAACTGTCAGCTGAGTTCCCACTGCAGAATGGGGTAAGAGGTAGGAAGAACCACCTGGATTCTCAGATCCCAAGTGGCGTTTGCAGCTAATCAGTTTTGGATTCATAAACTGAGCCCATTCAATCTGCAAGGTCATCAAGAAGAACAGCTCTGGAAACCCTGCAATGTTATTCCCATACACTCACTTGACTCACTATCACTGTACTTAATATTTTTTTCTAAGCTGGCTTTTTAACAGGAGGTGTGTGGCCAGATCCACTGACTGACTCTGAAATTCTCACCGTTCATCATCTTCTCCCTGCCCCTCCTCCAGGGAATTCAGAATTGCTGAAAAGATTAAGGACCAAAAACTTCCTTTTCCAATCTGCATGGAGCCATCTTACCTCAGATGTTCTGCACCCACTGTCAGCTCCGTGCATATCGTGAGACCAGAACATCACAAGCAAGAGCTGCCTTTCACCCGTAAGAGAACAGCAGGGTATTGTCTAAATATAGTGGGTTGAAGGGGAAAGGCCAAAACACTCAAAAATGTCCCACAGGGTAGACACATGCCAAGTCAGAAGAACTCCCACTAGGGGAATATGTTTACCTATCACTGTGCTCAGCTGCGATCTTCTGCTTTTCCCATAATGCACTCTTCTCCTCGTTGAGCAGGTCAAACCATGCCCACAACAACTTCTTCTTGAGGGAGGCTGCATAGAGCCTGCTAGCTCTCTCTTCCAGAGCAGAGAGATAATCCTTGTACTGGAGAATGGACAGAGGGAAAGAGGTAAGCATGTTCTCCTGGCCTCCCCACTAAACAATCACAGAAGAGTATCAAGAAAACCTCTAATGAAGGTAATGGGCATGGGAATGAGAAAGGCAGGCAGGGAGGAGCCACAGGCAGTGGCGTAAAGGGGTAATGACTGAGGGGAGCAAGAGGAGGCTTGAAGGGATGAGAAGACGAGCAATAGGAAGGGGGAGTGATAAGGGGAGGAAGGGAGCAGAGCGGATTAAGGGGTGATGAGGACGGGGAAAAGAGAAAAAGGAGCTGAGGAGGCAAGTGACATATGTGAAAGGGAGGTCAGTGTGACATAGCAGGCAGCATGCAATGTCCATGTGATGCAAGGCTCACAAGGAGCCCGTGGGTGCATGTGGTAGGCCGTGAAATTGGGTTTGGAGTGTGAGAGCAGTTGGTTGGGTTAGTAACATCCCCTCCCCTTTGGTCTGGGCTCACCTTTAACCAGCTCCTGAACCCCCTTCTGAGTAACATGCGGGAAGAGAATTCCTCAGCCCGAGCCATCTTCTCAGCGAGGCTCTCCTGGACGTGCCGCAGCCAGGCCAGCAGGCACTTCCTTTGCAATCCCGAGCAGCGGTGCTTTTGTGCCACCTGAGCAGAGTTAGGAGGGAGAGAAAAGGGCCAGTTACCTAAATAAATATGTTGTAGGGCCACAGCCGTGGAAACTCCACTGCAAAACCACCTCGCAGCTTTAATGTAAAAGGTCCCATGATGCACCATGCCCAACTGTGCCACGCTCTACACTGGCTTGCATATGTCTTTCTGACCAAGTGGCTGATAAATTTGTGGCCTGACGAGTGAGGACTGAAAGCCCCTCATGACTGCGAGTCATTTTTGTCTTTGTATAACTGCAGATGTCCTCCTTACTCAGAATGTCACACTGATCCTTACCACACTATCAGCTTCAAATCCTGGCAGTATTGCAGGTAACTGCATGCTAATCAGAAATTATTTGCTTTCATCAGCTTTGAATTTACTGTCTTTATTTCACTGTGTGGCATTTTGTTCTTGTACGCAGGAACATGGGAGCACCCGGTTGAGGTTTTGTCTGTCCTTCTTTATTTCATATACAACTACCATGTCTCCTCTTGCTCTTCTCCTTTCAGATTAAATAGTTCTAGTGTCAAATTTTCCAAAGCACTAAGGCACAGACCCTCACAGGTATTTAGGTACTTGAAATTAATTGGTGTTAGATACCTAAATACTTTGAGGATCCACTGCTGTGTGAATTTAATATTGGAAACATCCTCTGTTAAGGAAGGTTTCATAGTAGCAGCCGTCTTAGTCTGTATCCGCAAAAAGAACAGGAGTACTTGTGGCACCTTAGGGACTAAGGAAGGGTGCAGTGCCCTGCTCTTGCAGGGGGAGAGACTCAGTCAGTCCATAGTTTTTTCTATCTCTTTCTGACTTCAGAGTCCATTACCAGTTTCTCCCCCACAACCCATTTGGCTGCTGCTTCCTCCCTTTCTCTTCCCCTCTCAAGAGCCCACTTCCTCGGTTTTGTCCTCAGTAGGCATTTTACCACCATGTTTTCCTTGGCTTGGTCCCTCAGCCTCTTCCAGGGCTCCAGCCCCTTCTTTCTCAGCAGGACCTTCTTGTAATGGTCTCTGGCTTTTGCCAGGAGCTGCTGCTCTTTCTCCAGCCTTCTCTGCTTCTCCAGTTCTTTCTGCAATTCAAAGAGCAGCAGTTTAACTCATCTGGGGTGAAATGGATGGTAAGGCACATAACCACAGACAGTGAGTAGATGGGGATCCTGACCTGGCCAGAAATAGGAATCTGCAGCTTGTTTAGCTACTACCACAAGGTGGCCAAACATCTCTGACACATACAAACGCACCCGCTGCCACTGGAATGAGCCAACCATGGCTGTGTGGAGCAAGGGGAACAGTCTCCCTCAAGAAATCATGAAGGCTTGAAACCAAATGGAAGAATGACCACAGTACTAGAGAAGGTCACCCCCAACTTGCATGTCAAAGGAATGGAGAATCTAGCACATGTATACATCGGTATGGCTCTGTCTCCCAGGGGTGTGGAAAAATTCACACCCGAGAGACACACCTATACTGACCGAGCTCCCTGGGTAGCTACCGCTATGTCAACGGAATAATTCTTCCATTGACCTAGCTACAGCCTCTCGGGGGGGGTTAATTATCTACACTGATGGAAGAACCCCTCCCGTCAGCATAGGAAGTGTCTACACTGAAGTGCTACAGCAGCGTTTAGGTCACTGAATGGGAGAGAGGAAGCATATCTCTGGGATTTAAAAAGCATCTTGCTGCTTGGGCTATTGCCACAGCTCATTCCCAAGCAACAGCCTTAAGATGGCAGTTCCTGCCTGGCAAAAACTGCTGGTGTATGAGAGGAGATATTTCCATTCTTTGGGGGGAAGCTGCCACACTATAGAACTCTTTCTAGGGCTTATTTAGTTTAGGCTACATATTTGTTACTGGTGTACAAGGACATGAATGAAAAGAGCAACCCAGAACGAGGTGTGGATACAGCAGAGCCAGTCACAGTGCAGGCTTCCCCCACACCGCCTCATTGATGCACCTCAAACCTGACAAAACATCTGCAGGGACCATCAACTGGACAGTGAGTGCAGCGTCCACAACCCATTCAATCCTCGGCCTCTGTTGAAACTGCCAGTAAGGGAGCATCCAACAGTGACAGTGGGTTTTATTCTGTGGACACCAGTACACTAACTGAGATACCAAATCTTTTCATTCTGGCCACTGAACAGTTGCCAGAGGGTAATGGCTTTTGCTCTCTACCGTCGTGGTTGTGGGGCAGAGGCATGCAGTGTTCTGCGCACCAATTTCTGTTGTCTCCTCTCCTCCCGCCTCTTCTCCAGCAGGGCCTCTTTTTCAGCAGCCTCCTTCCTCTGACGCTCTTCCTCTTCAGCCTTCAGCTGCACCTTGGAAAGAAGGACATGGCTGGGATAAAACCAGATTCACCACATTTGAACGTTCACAGGAACAAAGGACATTCAGACAGAAGACCAGCAAGGTGAGAGTCCTGCCTCTAGCAGTGACCAGCAACTGTTGTGCAATGATGTACATTAGGGTGGGGAAGGACACTGCTTCCTGCAAGTGATCGCTGTACAGCCTGAAACACTGCATTTGACAACCCTTCTCTGGTACTGAATAACTTTACACATTATTGAAGGTTATCCAGCCCCCATTTCTCACTCAGCCCTGAGTTCCACAGGCGCCTCTATGGTCTGGGATGTTCTACTTTTACTCCCACACAAAACCATCATGAAGTTAGTGTTATGGTGGCTCAATTTGTATTTCCCTGATGTGCCACGGACTCTAAAAATCAAGGAAGTTGTTTCACTGAGGCAACATTCACACCCAGCCCAGCACCATTCTCCAAGTATTCACCCTCTCCTGTCACAAACTGCCCATCTCCCAACACCTTCTGTAGCACAATCACTTTC